GAACTAACCTCTGTAAAACCGTCTCAAATACTGTCAAATTTTGTCAAAGCTCTGAGACTAAAATAAAAGGTATAACTCAAAAAAGGGAGACATAATGGATTTGTAAGACATTACAATTTGCAATGCTATCAAAAAAGTTTCATATTGATATAAAACTTACCTAATATTAAAGAAGGAGATTAAGAGTCCATTCTACTAGTCCGCAAAGTAGCCAAATAAGCGTTCTGCATTTAACGTTTTATGTAAAACTGGCTAGGTATTTTTACATAAATGAGGAAGGAAATTAAAGATAAAGGATTATACTATAGGGAAATTAAAATAACTTTCGTTGCACATCATAATACGACCAAACCAGCAAACTCCATCAGACGACGCATGGTGTGATTGATGACGTGCAATGAAAGTTGTTCCAATTTCCCAATATATCCGTATTGTAGCACATTTTTAGACAACTTCTTTATCTTTAAGATTTTGATGGTCAAACATCAACAAAATATTCCTTATGTTTGAACTAAATTTTCTCGAAAATAAAGACATATTTTTAAATTCCGTTACAATAAGGAAATAGATTGAAGTCAGGGCCGTATCTGGGGGGGTGTTTTGGGGGTTCAAACCCCCCCCCCCCCGAAATTATGGCCGAAAATTTTTAAAAAGTAATGATCATTAAGTAAGTAAGTAAGAACGAAACAAAAAAGAAGAAGAAGATGGATGAATATCAATGACTAAAGAATACCAGGACATGTAACGTCCATATACGGGCTGCAGCAGAATTTGTGACCTTAGACGCCAACTTTTTAGACATAACGACATCATCAGCTGGTCATCAGCGACAATTTTAGCGATTTTTAATAGTTGGTTGTGTGTAGTGAACTTTGTATAAACTTTATTACAATGGTAATTTGTTCAGCTTTCAAGTGTAAAAGGCGCAATGATAAGAAAGAGCCAGAAGTTACGTTTTATAGGGAAATAAACAGTCCCCTACACCTTTTTAGATTTTTTTATTGAATTCGATAATTATTTTTCTGATATTATATGTACTTGATATGTACTATACGTCGATACTAGTTATGTACCTTTTGTCAACATTTTAATACGTTTTTTTCGTAATTAATTAGTATGATACTACCCGATACACCATAGGCGTAGTGAAAACATATAATATCAAAAATATAAATATCCCTTCAAGCGGCAATGTTAAGTAAAATATGTGCCACGGCACTGTCTGGAAGAATGGTCACAGTTTGGTCTCGGGTGCTATTTGTCCTTGTATTCTTTAGTCATTGATGAATATACATTATACACCCTAACCTCACTTTTCCACTTTGAAAGCAAATGTCATTTTCGATTTTCGACTTTCAACATTCAAGTGTTTAAAACAACAAAAGTTTGACAAGGACAAGATTTTGAATGTTGTGTGTTTTGCAGGTTATTAACGTGATTAACGTTTGTTATTGTTCTGCTATTAGACAAAGAATTCTTGGACTATAACACTTTAGCGGCAGAACTAGACTTGTGGCGGCAAAAATGGAAGCAGCTACCTGCAGTCGACCGACCTAAAAACGCCATCGAAACGATAATCGGAGTGTAACCAGTGTATATTTCCAAATATATACATTTTATTAATGATCCTAGCAACTCTACCAGTGTCAACAGCTACACCAGAAAGGTCTTTTTCAACCCTAATGCCGCAACCGCACATGCGGTATTCGGCGATCTCCGATCGGAGCTTCGCCGATTTCCTATGTGTGTGGATGAGGAAGTAGGAGTTCTATATTGTTGCTATCAGAGCCCGCATGTGTGGATGGAAAGGCGAAATCCGATCACGAGCGTTCGGTAGTTGACGAGCGCTCGGAGTTCGCTAAATGCCGCATGTGCATAAATTAATTATGTGGCATAAGACGATTGAAGGACTTTCTACGTAACTCTACAGGTCAGGAGCGATTGACAGGACTTGCCCTATTAAGCGTACATAGAGAAATAAATATCGATATCGAAGAGGTAGTCACTCGGTTTTCCAGGGAAAAGACCAGTTTATCCTTTAAAATTAATAATTTTTACCTGTTACTTTTTTAAAATTTTATTTTCAATTAAGATTTGAGTGTAACCCAAAGCGATTTTTTTATTATGCTTTTTTCCTAGCAGTTTTTGTACCCCCCCCCCCTCCAAGCCAAACCCCCCCCGAAATTTTGGTCTAGATACGGCCATGATTGAAGTTTTTTGATTACAGTGATATACAAGGTGCTACAAATTCGAGGTACGAGCATTGATATCTTGAAAACAGTAATAGATACGAAGATGGTTAAATTGGGGCAAACTTGCCATGAAAAAAGTTTTAAAAATTTCAAGGATTGCTTAGTTTTTTGGGAAAAACGGATTTTTTTGAAAATCAATTTTATTTTTTTTTATCGTTAGTTTTTAAAAAATCAAAAAACTAATTGCGCGTTCTCAAGGCCACTTTATTGGGCCTATCTGATAGTATTTTTAGATTTTCAAATTAGTTGATAATTTGTGAGATACAGAGCCCAACTTATTTTTTTTAAATACGGACCTGCATTTTTTATTTGAGGTTTTGAAAGCATGTCACACTTTATACTTTTTTTTGTTTTGAGTACCTTAACAACAACAAAACTATTTAATTATTATTTAAAATAATTTCCGTCCGACTCTGGTTTTTTAAATTATTTAATCTGATTAATTCATCGCAACAATAACTAATTACTAATTAACATTAAATAAGGAAAATAGACCTAATTGGAAGATTCAAATAAATAATATCCAGGTCGGCAATTTAAAGATATTATTTTTAACTTTTTTTTATTGTGAATTTGGAAATGTGCATAATATTAATCGTATCTAGTTATTATAAATAAATCAACTTTAACAAACTAGTTTATAATGCTCTACATGTTCGAAAGGGTTTCCCCTCCCCCCTATTTCCGTGTGTGTATTCACTGCTTTACTCCACATCATTGTTAAGTCTGAAAGCTTATCAATATTATAACGATGAATAGATTAAATATTATAATTAATAGATTGAATATTAAAAAAACAGAGCCGGACTTGAAATTAGCTTAAATAAATTATGTTCAAATGTCCAAAACAAAAAAAAATATTAAGTGTGGCATATCATTGTACTCAGGAGACCGAGTTCTTTCAAAACATAAATTAAAAAATGCAGGTCTGTATTTAAAAAAATTAAGTTGACCTCTCTCTGTATGTCACAAATTATCAGCTAACTTGAAAACCTAAAAATACTATCTGATAGGCCTAATAAAGAGACCACGAAAATGTGTAATTAGTTTTTTGATTTTCTAAAAAATAACGACAAGAAAAAATAAAATTGATTTTGAAAAAAATCCGTTTTTTCCAAAAAACTCAGCAACCCTTGAAATTTTTAAAACTTTTTTGATGGCATCTTGGTGAACATCCGAAAGCGTAACTTTGCTCTAATTTAACCATCTTCGTATCTATTACGGTTTCCGAGATACCAATGCTCGTACCTCGAATTTGTAGCACCCTGTATAATTTATAGGGTTTTGTAACAAATTGCTCGGTATTTTATGGCAAATGCTGAAGCTCTGCAAACCATAATCAAGCCTTAATCAAAGCACGTGTGTTTGGAATTTTGTATGTGGCTTAACACGACAGGATCGGGCTAAGCCTTAGGCAGATTTTTGAAATATAATATAATTTCCTTCGGCCACACACCCGCTTTACCCGACCCCTGAGAGCGACCCGAACAGTACAGCGTAATAGACTCTTAAAAATAATTGAAGATTATTAATTCAAATAAATACTTCCCAGAACGAATCGCTAATTTACTATAACTTGATCGAAAACACCACCGCTCGCTTTTAATAAAGAACAAAACTTACGTTACATTATTATTGTTATTGTTAATAAAAGACCCATTACGGCCGAACAAAAATCATTAAAAGCTTAACTGGAAGATATCGGAGCGGCCCGGTGCCGCTCTCCATTGTGGAGGGAGCCGGTTGCGGCCCGAATCAAAGATCCCAAAGCCGAGAAAATTAAGCGATTTATCGTCGTGGGGACGCGGGCAGCGAGATGGCCGAAACGTCCGACCGACCGCACAAAAGAGAGAAAAACGACCCGACAAACGGGCCGAAAACATAAATAATCGCCGAGTAAAAGGTTGATGTTACTGTAAATAGTGCGCGATTATAATAACACAGATGTTTACGGGTCGTACGGCGCGATTAAAACGTCAACGAAGACGCTGGGTACCTGGCGGAGGCCGCTAGAGGGCAGTGGTGGCGATGATGGCAGTGGAAAAGGAGATATTTGTAAATACAAAGCATTAAATAAAATCTTAAGGTGGAGATTGAGCCGTATTCATAAAAAAATCGTGTGTGTACTATGTACGCATATTTGAAGTTAAACTTCTTACTCTTCTTTCGTTTGTTCATCGATAATTAACAAAAATCCTGATGATTTCGGCCATTTAGAGGCATCGGCATTGGTTTGAAACGTAGAGGGCGTTATCTTGTAGCTCGTCCCCAATTATTTCGAAATCGACCCACATTTTTCTTTAATATCAACTAGTTAGTCCTACTCTGATGAAGATATAAACGAAACGTCGTATTCAACTTTTTTGCACGGTGGGACCGTGTGCACCGTCGTTCCACCACGGTGCACACGGTCCCACCACGGTGCACACCACGACGGTGCACACGGTCACACAAAAGTCCACATACCAAATTTGGTCGCGATCGGACGACATCAACTTTTGACGTTTCTTACGTCAAAACTAATTGTCACAGTGACACGTGTCGTACACCATCAAGTTGGCTTTGGTCCAATCTATCGACATATCTAATTTCATTTAAATCAGACTATTTTTTGATTTAATTCATTGATGATGGGGTTTGGTATTGCACGAAATGTCGTCAAACTATCATAAAAAGGTGGATGCATGGGAACCGATTGTAAATCGCTCCTTTAAAATTTTGAAAAGGTCTTTTTAAGATCAAAATACAGTCGAACTTCGATAAGTTGAACTTCGATAACTCGAATTTTTAATAAGTCGAACCAAATCGGTTGGCAATAGCGTCAAAAGTAGAAAATGTGTGTTAATTTGTCTTGATTACTCGAACTTCGATTACTCGAATATCTCGATAACTCGAACGAAATATTTGACGCCATCTTCGATAAGTCGAATTTTCTCGGGGAATCCCCCAATTACGGCAGATCTTAACCTGTCTTTTTTAACATATTTATGCAGGCAGTTCAGTTTCTGTGCTTGCTAAGTTTACGTGTATGACTTACTAGTTAATACTAAGTAAAAAATACTGTGCCGATTCAAGGTACACATTATATTAAAGAAATTTTCGCATTTCTTAATATGTCATCAAAACGTACTTTAAAGACTTTGTCTGTTGATCAAAAATTCAAGCTTATAAAAGAAGTGGAAAGTGGTTTAAAAACAAAGATGTAGCTGTGAAGTACGGTATTTCTGCAAGTACAGTGTCTACATCTTAAAAAATAAACATTCAGTCATCACCGCAATGGAAAGTGGTAGTGCAAGTGGGAATATCAAGAGGCTAAAAAAGCCTATGTATGAAAATGTAGACATAGCAGTTTTAGAGTGATTTAAATCGGCAAGACGGCAGATCTTACCTATATCCGGGGGGTTAATCAAAGAAAAGGCATTAGAGTTTAGTGAAAAACTAGGACAACCAAACTTTAAGGCAAGCACCGGTTGGCTCAATAATTGGAAACGCAGGTATGGTACATAAATATAAAAAAAATATACAGTAATTAGGTTTTAAAGTTCATTTTTTTATGTAGATCAGGCGTATGCCATAAAAAGGCTTGTGGAGAAAGCAGTGACGTAAGTGACGAAGATTGTACTAAATGGAGGCGTGATGTTTTACCCTATTTATTAGAAGGATATCAAGCACGGGACGTGTTCAATGCAGATGAGACGGGATTATTTTTCAAATGTCTTCCAGATAACACTTTAACTTTAAAAAATATGAAGTGCCATGGAGGTAAGCATAGTAAACAGAGAGTTACACTGATGCTTCTTGCAAACATGGATGGATCAGAAAAAGCAAAATTGCTTTTAATAGGTAAAAGTAAGCAACCTCGCTGCTTTCGAAATGTTAAGTGGTTACCTCTTGACTATAAAGCAAATGCAGACGCTTGGATGACAGGCGCACTTTTTGAAGAATGGCTATTAAAATTGGACAAACAATTTAAAAACCAGGGAAGGAAAATTATTGTTTTTATTGACAACTGTCCAGCTCATCCTAAAGACATCCAGAAAAAATTAAAATGTATTAAACTGACTTTTTTTCCGCCGAATATGACGTCTAAGTTACAACCACTTGATCAGGGAATCATACAATGTTTAAAATGTCATTATCGCCGAAGAATTTTGAAAAAATCTATCAAACGTTTTGAAGAAAACAAGAACAATAACATTACCCTTATTGATTGTGTTGACGATGTAACTACCGCATGGGATATCGACGTTAAACCTGAAACAATTTCCAATTGTTTTAAAAAAGCCGGTTTTGGTCAGTATTCTGAATGGGAAGAAGAGGATGAAATTCCCTTGATTTTCCTAAGTGAACGCCTGAAAGAAAAGAGTGAAGACGAAATCCAACTAGAAATCGAGTTTAAAGGTTGGACAAACATAAGAGGTATAGCAGAAGGTAGCACCATCAACGATTTTATACGTGTGGATGAGGATATTGTTACTTCAGAGTTTCTTACCGATGAAGATATTATCGAGTCTTGCAGATCCGAACCGGTACAGTTGAACATAGAAGATGACTGCGAAAGTGACACGATGGAGGAGGAATTTGAAGATGATTTCCAGCAACCACCTTCGAATAAATTGGTTGAAAATTCGTTGAGTGTCTAGCATTCCTATTTAAAAACCAGTGAATATACAACCGATTCTATGTATGAGTGTCTAAATAAAATTGAAACTTTTGTGGAAAACCAAAATAAGAAATTCGGTCGGCAGTCACAAATAACTGACTTCTTTACAGTAAAAGAGTAAATACTATGTACATACATATATGTTATGTACTACTATTTTGTTTTTTATAATTTTCGTTGTGTTCAAAAATCATAGATATTAAGGCTTTTATGTAAACATGTTACCCATTTTTACTGAAATACCTAAATATAATAAATAAATGTTCATTCACAAAATAGTACATGCATTTGTACAGTTAACATTGATAACTCGAAGTCTCGTTAACTCGAAATTTTCATGTGTCAAATCGCTGTTCGAGTTATCGAAGTTCGACTGTAGTTAAAAATTCACAAAAAAGTATTGGTTTGTCATAAACGTTACTTTTTACTCTAACTAAAAAGGATATCCTCCAATAATATTAAGTGTAGTCAGTTGCAGACTCAGTCGTGTAGTATCAGTTGTATAGTGATGGCAAATGTTGTGGAATTGAGAGAGATTAAACACTACAAGAAGCATTTATCAACACCTGTTCGTGATACAAAGAATTATATCATTTTGAAGAGGAAAATTTGCAATGGCTAGCCAACAAACTTTTGAGAACAAATGCTAAAACTCGAGGACTTACCATCCGTCCTAAAAATGAAGATATGTATACGCTATCTCTCTGACACTGGGTATCAGAAAGGCATTTGTCAAGAACTGCATGTGTAAGTTAAGCTACAGTATCTCGTACGACTGCCATATACGGGGACAGGGGTGCAAGGGGTATTGAAGCGATACATATAGCCTAGCTTACCCAAAAGTCAACCTCACCTTCACGTGGTGCACCCTGTTTACACAAACGAGGCTCTGACGTCCGAGTATAGGCGGTATAACCTTATACAACCCTCAGACCTACCATCTTCTGGGGAAAAGGAGTAATAAAATACACCTAGCCGGCCGAGAACGTAGCACAAGGGAACTATCGTCGCAGTCCTCACTGTGCCATAGCCATCCCGTGCTACAGTTGCAGCCAAAACTGTGCGGCAGCGTAACCGCCACAGTTAAACCTTTTCACGCAGCTTACACACAGCAATGATGGAACATTCGAGTGGGACAAAATTATCGTGGTAAAATACCCCCTCAATCGGATCTCCGGGAGGGGGTGCCTACTCGAGCGTATCATCGGAGAAACAAAAAACATCAATGTTTCACGTTCGCGGCGTGGAACGTCCGCACTCTACTGGACAAGATAAATTCAAATCGACCAGAGAGAAGAACAGCACTGGTCTCACAGGAACTCCACCGATTAAATATAGATGTTGCCGCTCTAAGCGAAACACGCTTTGCAGATGAAGGTAGTCTCACTGAGGAGCATTACACCTTCTTTTGGAAAGGTCATCCCGCAACACACAGGAGAATTCATGGTGTAGGCATTGCGATCAAAAACGAAATCGCCACCAAGTTAACAGAAGTACCTATTGGTGTCTCCGAACGTCTTATGACCCTAAGGTACCCCATATCAGACAAAACTTACGTCAACATCATTAGTGCCTACGCTCCCACCCTTGACGCTAAAATTGAAGATAAGGATAAATTTTACCAAGCTTTACAAAATGCCCTTCAACGAATTCCAAAGCACGAACGAATCATCTTGCTAGGTGACTTTAATGCCCGTGTAGGCAAACAACAGGGAAATATGGCCTGACGTATTGGGAAAACATGGAATGGGAAACGCAAATAGCAATGGTGAACGCTTATTAACAACATGCGCAGAGTATAATCTTTGCATCACCAATACGTGGTTCATGTTGAAGGACAAGTTTAAAGGTACCTGGAAACATCCTAGATCAGGCCACTGGCATCAATTGGACCACATAATCGTTCGAAGGACGCATCTAAAAGATGTTAGGCTCACAAAAGCTAGAGTAGATGCCGAATGCGGCACTGACCACCGACTTTTAATTTCAAAAATGAAAATCCAGTTAAAACCCAAACATCCACGCTGTAAAAAGCAAAACAACATGACCAGATTGAACGTACGGGGTCTAGAAAACAACAATACCGCCGACGCCCTCCGGGAAGCCATCAAAGAATCACTTCCACCGATAACTTCAATCTCAGTATTGGAAGCTGAACAAGGCTGGACACAATTAAGGGATGCGATTCATAAAACCAGCGAAGCAGTACTGGGAAAGTCGAACAAAAAGAAACAACCAGACTGGTTTGACGAAAATCAACCGCATATACAGGCTTTGTTGGAACAAAAGCATAGAGCATATCAAGCCGTCACTGCAAATCCACATAATCCAAGACTGGTAGACAACTTTAAAGCAGCCAACAACACGCTTCGAAGAGAACTGCGCCAAGTAAAGGATAACTGGTGGTCACAAAAAGCGAATCAGATTCAAGAGTACGCCACGCATCACGATTATCGTAAATTCTTCGAGGCTGTAAAAGAAGTATACGGCCCAACTAAGAAGGTAAGCTGCCCAATCATGGCTCAAAATGGCGAACTTCTAAAGAGGAAGAACAAATTAGAAATCGCTGGAAAGAACATTACAGCCATATCCTTAACCAAGAAAACAACCCCAATATGGAAGCATTAAACACAATACCTCAGTATAACAGCCTCGATGTATTAGACATCCCAATAACAGAAAAAGAAATAAAGACCTCCATAAAACAGCTTAAAAACAACAAAACAGCTGGCTGTGACGATATTCCGGCGGAAATCTATAAGTGTGCAAGTAAAGAACTTATTGGTCATCTTAAGGCTCTCTTTGATGTCGTATGGGAAAGCGGAGAGGTACCTCAGGATTTTCGCAATGCGAATATAGTGAATATATTTAAGAACAAAGGAAGTGCATCAGACTGCGGAAATTACCGGGGAATTTCGCTATTGGCTATCGGCGGAAAAATTCTTGCAAAAATAATGTCAAACCGCCTGCACCCATATATAGAAAAAATCCTTCCAGAATCGCAAAGGGGTTTTCGTACCAACCGCGGCACCGTCGATTCCATATTTTCCATCCGTCAACTACAGGAAAAAGTAAAAGAGCAGGAGTCTAAACTTTATGTTGCATTCATCGATCTAACAAAAGCCTTCGACTCTGTGAACAGAGATGCGCTTTGGGCAATTATGGAAAAGTTCGGAGTACCCAACAAATTTCTTACAGTGTGTAAAAGCCTCCAAAACAACAAGTCAAGAGTGTCACATCATGGATCACTGAGAGACCCATTCCTAACAAATACAGGAGTTAGGCAGGGATGTGTCTTAGCGCCTCTCCTATTCAACATATTCATGGCAGCGCTCTCCATTATAGTGGACAGCAAACTGCAGGAGAGAGGATTGGGCATTAGATACTGATATGACGGCGGTCTGTTCAACATAAAAAGACTCAGGGCAAAAACACGTACAAAATTTATCACAGAACTTCAATACGCTGACGACTGCACTCTAGTTGCAAACACGGTACAACAATTACAAGAAATGTTGAACACATATACCTGGGCATACGAGGCTTTGAGCCTTAAGCTAAACATCGACAAAACTAAAATCATGTGCACTCACCCGGAAGATCACAACAATGCTATAAAAATCGGAGAAGAACTATTGGAATATGTGGCGGAATTCAATTACCTTGGCAGTTTGATTTCGGAAAAGGCCAATATTGACTCTGAAATTCAGCACAGGATTAGTAGCGCCTCAAGGCATTCTGGAAATTAAAAGACAGGGTTTTCTACAATCATGACTTGAGTACAAAAACAAAACTTGCAGTATACCGAGCAATTATAATCCCCACCATGATATATGGGAGCGAAACCTGGGTGCCTTACCGCCGACACATGAACGCATTGAACAAGTTGCAACAGAGACACCTTAGACAACTCTTAAGAGTCCGGTGGTTCCATCATGTCTCAAACGTATCGGTCCTTGAAAAATCTAACTGCGAGAGTATTGAAGTCATGGTCACAAAATCCCGCTTAAGATGGGCTGGTCACGTATGCAGAATGCAAGAAAACCGCATACCAAAATCTCTGCTTTACGGTGAGCTTGTGGACGGTAAGAGGAGGCCGGGTGGACAACTGAAAAGATACAAGGACATTTTCCACGAAAATTTAAAGGGAATTAACATGCAGAATGAGTGGGAAAAAGCAGCTCACAATAGAACTCAATGGAGAAGGGTTGTAAACTCAGTTAACAGCGGCAACCAAAAGTAGAGAGGCAACAAAGCAATGAGATTTTTGAATGTCCGGAGTGCGGTAGGCAGATAACATCACGTATCGGGCTTTTCAGTCACAGAAAAGCTCATGAAAGAAAACGCCTTGCGTGACCATTTTCTTTATGTGTGTCGAATACTCGTCAGCGAGTAACGGCTGTATGTATGTATGTATAATTGACAGCATAGCTGCGCAATCCAATTAAATTAGGAAAGTCCTGCCTTCCTGTCAGATAAATAGATAGAATGCAATAAAAAAAATGAAGAAACACATTACTAAAAATTGTATTAATCAATAATAAATATGTGAAAAGTAAAAATAAATATGTAGAAATATGTAAAAATTTAAAAAAAAACGATTAAAAAAAAGTCGCCTTGACTAGGATTCGAACCTGCCTTACAACGGCTCCAACGTCAATGCAGCGTAAAGTCCTAACGCTTTAACCACGCCGCCACCGAGGACATGAAAGATTCTATGTAAAATTCTTACTTAAAAGATAATGTTTAGTCAAAGTACTTTTTATTTATAAACATTTATTTAATTCTGTTTTTAGTATTTGTTCTTATAGCGGCAACATAGATACATTATCTCTGAAAATTTCAACTGTCTAGCTATAAAGGTTCATAAGATAGACCTTTTTGTGACAGACGGACGGACAGCGAAGTCTTAGTAATAGGGTTCCCGTTTTTACCCTTTGGATACGGAACCCTAACAGCAATCTAGCTATAGGAAAAGAACGAACACTCCACTAACTGGACCAGAACCATTCTGCTTCCCAAGTGAACACTTAACCTAACCTAACTTAAAACAGAACTTTAGAACCTGGAAGACTCCATCCGTAACATAGAATGGGAATCCGCCAACGGTGTAAGACACTCTAAGAAATTTCTCACGACCTATGACCGAGAAAAATCAAAGAATTTCTTTGATTTAAGTAAGAACAATCTTCGGATTATCAAGGGATTTTTAACAGGACACTCAACATCAGTCTCCTCAAGGAACACCTCAATAGATTGAAGCTAAGAAACAACGGCGAATGCAGATTCTGTGGAGAAAATCGGGAAACATCAGAACACCTCATTACTGAGTGCACCGAGACGACAATAAGATAATAAGATACTGACTTTGGTTAAAGC